TAGTTGTTTCCTCGTAAAGTCCTAGTAATAACATTACTAGGACTTTACGAGGAAAAAATCGCGGGCATAGCTATTTCCTAGTAAAGCAGTTTCCTCGTAAAGTCCTAGTAATGGTATTACTAGGACTTTACGAGGAAATAAAAACACGGGCATAGCTATTTCCTCGTAAAGGCCTAGTAATGTTACTAGGGTCTTACGAGGAAACAAAATTCCTTATATAAACTCGAGCAATCCGATTTCTCATTTGTAGTAAACTTCTCTCTGAATTCTCTTAAGGTTCTCTCTATTTCCTACTTAGGTGGTTAGATTAGAGAATTTAGATTAGGTGGTTAGATTAGAGAATTTAGATTAGGTGGTTAGTTTAGGGAATTTAGATTAGGGAATTTAGATTAGGTGGTTAGTTTAGGGAATTTAGATTAGGTTGATTTAATTTTTTTAAACTGTTTTTTTAAATGATACTAGTTTATTAATGATACTAGTTGTCGTGTCGGGATGACGACTTCGTTCGTCAATTTAACGAGCAACATCCGTAGTTTAGTTTTTTTTCTCTTTAATCGTATATGAATTTATAACTTAAATATTTAGTTATTTATAAAATATTTTGTTATTTCTTTTTTTATTTATAATTTGGATTCTTTAATTTTTTTTAAATATAATATTTATATTTATTTTAATTATTTTTTTAATAGGGAAAAATATTTCAAAGTAAATTCCTAGTAAAGCATTACTAGGAAATTACGAGGAAAGTGGAAAAACATTTCGAAGTAAATTCCTAGTAAAGCATTACTAGGAAATTACGAGGAAAGTGGTTACTAGGAAACTACGAGGAAAGTGGTTACTAGGAAATTACGAGGAAAGTGGTTACTAGGAAATTACGAGAAAAGTGGTTATTAGGAAATTACGAGGAAAGTGGTTACTACGACTTTACGAGGAAAAAGGCTTTACGATGAACGTGTTTCGACGAAACGCGTTTCCTCGTAAGTTCCTAGTAAAATGCCATTTACTAGGAACTAACGAGGAAAACCTGCCCTAGTAATGGACGAGTTTTCTGGTAGTGATTACTCTCGAGATATGGGTGGAAAACAGTCTATAGGAAAACAGGTCAATATTTCAAAAATACTACAATAATATGAGCCATTTTTACAAGCTACATAGGTAAAAAATTATTTATGTAGGAAATCATATGTTGGACCAAACCTTAGGCTCTAATACCATATTAATGATGGGTCTAACTCATACCAAAAAACTAACTCAAAGGTGAAAAATTATCCATACACTTATATATTGTCTAAGGGCCTTGTCCTCAAACGATGTGGGACAACTAATAGTTAACTCCTCATGCACAGCCGAAGGCCATATACTGAGGTTGATTCTCTAATTTTGGCCAAAATGAAGAGTTGAATACACTTAGAGAAGTCTGAACCTTGAGAATGTAACGTTTGCATCTACATCCTTGGATATAATTAAAGCGCTATATATAAGCTAAGAGAATGATCGGCATATTTGGGGCACTTGGAGGTCTTAATGAAACTTGTCCAAGATAAACAATCACTCGACATCAATTTTGAAACACCCGAATGCAATAAAGGAGCTTTCAAAATAACTTGAAGTGTAGTAAAGAACTGTGTTTACAGTTCTATTTTAACGATGAGATGATAAAGTGTAGTAGTCATTGGTTTTGCTTTGTCATTGAAAATTTTATTAGCAGGATGTTTTGCCCTGCTCTTACGTGTTGCTTATTTTGTGGTTGAACTTTGAATTGTTTGCTTGAGTTACTCAAGTTGAGTATGAATGAATTCACACAGAGGGAAAAAAAAATTTACTGAGAATTGAAGAGAATTACTTTTATTTTACTCTGATTCTGATATATAAATTTTCAGTTTCCAAGAAAAAAAAATCAAATGAAGCGTAATGAACCATGGTTATTATATAGTCCTCATGGAGATGTGACACATGGACAATCAGAGTCCATTTATACCACATTAAACCATTTACACTAAACACGGTTTTTCAAACTAAGCTAACTCAAACCGAATCCAAAAACAAATTTTAATGTTTAATCAATAAAATATCATTGAATTACGCATATTTTATTTCTTTACAATTTATAAAAAGTTTGTAAATCAAACCAAATAAACTACAATTCTAACCTAGCAACTTATCATCTTGACGGACCAAACCAAACCGGAACTCATAGAGACAAGTTTACATGTTCAGTTCTGTAGAAACAACAAATGCAGCTTTTGAAAACAAAAAAGATAAGTTGCGTCAGGGAGAGAGTACAATGTGGCATGTGAAACCGTTGTGTCATGTGTCTTGTCTCTTTCACTAACCACTAATTCTGGTATTCCAGTTTCAGTCAGATATATTGTTCAACACCAGTTGACAAAAAAACATTATACAGCACCAAGAAAACAAGAGAACAACTGTAAAAAGAAGATGACATAGTTTGAGTAAACCAGTAAAAGAGTAATTAAACAGCTTCTCTATTTGTTACTGCTACTTCTTTAGCAGTTCAACTCAAAAGATTCAAAGTTACGTTCATTTGTTTCAGTGACTCTACTGAGAGTTATGATGTATGAAATCTGTCAGCGACGAGTTCTCAATATGAGTCTAGCAAAAGAATAACACTTAAATTAAAGCAATATCATTGTTCTATCTCTATCTTTCAATCCTAATTCCCCCACTTTTACAAAGAATCTAATTTATATAAGCAGTAGCGATAATAAATCCTAGCACCAAAAAAAAAAAATGAAGAGAATCTTTATATAGCATCTAATCTATTTTTTTCCTGGTCCAGACACATCTAACATACATCATCATGCTTATATTATCAAGTAAACACGACCAAACGCAAACCAACAAAAGATCAAATCCTAAGATTTGAGTCTAGCAAAAGAATTTGCAAGGTTTACTGCAGCAATAAAATAACTTAAGAGCCACATCAATTATTGATAGAACTTTTGTTTGGTTCCTAAAGAACAGAAGCAACTGTTACATGAGTTTAAGCCCATGTGTAAATTATGGACCGTTTGTACTATTGCAAAAAGTGGCAAGCCAATAAAAATATCCTCTATAAGACAACCAATGATATCTTCAAGATAAAACAACCAAACAAAATGAACATGTCATACTTCTAACTTTTATAAACCAAAGTTTATAATTCAAAACAAACAAATAAAAACTACATCTTAAAATTTTCTAATACCCCAATTTATCTTATCTATTTTTCTTTCTTTTCCATTATTTTTTCTTCTGAGCTAGCTTAGCAATGTAATCATGCACTTATTCCACCAGAAAAGCATACAAGAACACAGTGGTCCATAACCCAACTTTACTTCACTTTTTAAACACTTCAAAAGGCTTCAGCCTCGTCAACAATATCACCATTCCTCAACATTTCTTAGCCTATACAAGAGCTTCCAATAAGACTAGAGCTTTAAGCTTCTCTTCAAAAATGGAGAGTAAAAAAGCACAAGGACAAGGGTATCTAAAGAAGAAGGCTAGTATATCAAGTTACCTTGTGGATGAAGAATTAGAGAATGATACGGATGGAGAAGAGGAAGTTGAGAGATGGGAGGAGAAGAGGAAAGGAGTGATGGATAGGTTAAAAGGATCTAGCAGCAGCAGCAGCACCGAGCGTAGCTCATTGCGGCTTTGCCAAGTAGATAGATGCACAACTGATTTGAAAGAGGCTAAACAGTATCACCGGAGACACAAAGTGTGTGAAGTTCATGCAAAGGCATCTTCTGTCTATCTCGCAAGTGTTAAACAACGCTTTTGTCAACAGTGCAGCAGGTACCATACAAACTTTACTCCAACACACTTTTTCAGAGTTTTATTTGCCACTCATATGTTGTAACTTTGAATGGTTTGAAACAGGTTTCACGAGCTCCCAGAGTTTGATGAAGCTAAAAGAAGCTGCAGGAGACGCTTAGCTGGACACAACGAGAGGCGGAGGAAGAGCTCTGGTGAGAGTTATGGAGAAGGGTCAGGTGGCCGAAGAGGAATAACTGGTCAGGTGGTGCAGAATCAAGAAAGATCAAGGGTAGAGATGACACTTCCTATGTCAAACGCATCATTCAAGCGACCACAGATTAAATAGATAGAGAAGTTGTCTGCTCTCTCTCTTCTGTCATCTAAAATATCTTTAAATCTGAATTTCTGGTGCCTATTACAATGTCAAAAATCAGCCAAGACATGGTATTGACTCCTGGTGTGATATAAATAAATAAGTAATAACTAGTAACTCTTCTACGTATTTTTTGTGATGGATGCCTAGCCCAAAATGCTAAGAATTTTGATTCTACATAAGTTTACGGTGTCGTGTACGTTTTGAAGATGATTTTTAATTCTAACTGGTAAAAGGTTTTCAATACAGATTAGAGTAAGGAGTGTGAGTTATCCAAAACCACAAGAGCCTAACAGACGATCACTGAAGTTTCAGAGCCAAGAATAAGATGCCTTTTTAGAGATACTATTGCTGCAGATTTTGCCTAGACTCATTCCCTTAATCTAGTCTATGTTAGGCTTCTTGATTTTAATAACCAACAATCATTATCAGTTGAATGAGGTGGAACATCCCCTTTTTTTAAATCAACAGTAGTACAGCACTAATAGTACAAATAAATTATTCAAAATCTAAGTGGTACTAGTAGTACAGTAGAGACAGACATGAAGACGCATTTTGCATGAAATGTTATCAAAGATTAAGCTCAAGTAAACAAATTTCGTTCAATTTAGAAACCAAGGTTAAATCTTGATAGTTCTGCAATCTCCACCAAAGCTAATTAACGCTAAATCATGTGACCCTACTCAAGAACGAATAAGAATAATAACAAGAAAAGAAAAACGCTCATGAATTCAAGTAGCAACAACTCAATGGAGAACGGTTATGGCATAAGAGTAAAAGCCTTGAGTCTTTACACTTGTTCCTTTATAGGCAACTATGTGATTGTCCGCAAATATGCACGTACACATATTTTAAATTTTTAATCTAAGTAACATTGTTATATTTTTGACATGTTATAATATAATTTTAGTGTTTAAAATTTGAATATAAATTTTGATAGATTTTTTAAATAAACAGATTTTTTTTTTTTTTAAATCTTTTTGGTTATTTGATTACTTATTAAAAGTATAGATAATTTTTTTAATATTTAATTAATTTTTATCAATAACTATTTAACTGATTAAGATTTTTATCCATTAAGAATGTAATTTCATTTTTAACATTCACATCCAACTATATATATTAATTGGCTTGTAGGTAAAGTTTTTCTTCTAAAAAAATATTAATATCCCAAAATATGAATTATGTGACAAATAAATCCATACTTGCAACTAAAATATATAAAAAATTAGCGTCAAGAAACAAAACTATATATATATATATGGATTTTTATTAATTTAATAAAATTTCTAATAATATTTTCTCGTAAGAATTAGTTTCTACTAATACAGTAATACACTTATATAGTAATATAGTGTTAGTATTTAATAGATACTAAAAAGTTTTATATTATGATCTATGATATAGATAAATTCCGGCTAGTAGAAAGTTTAAAAACATTATGAACAACTTTCTATTAAATGATCAAATAAATAAAAACAGTTACACACACACCACACATATATAATTGATATGTTTGGTAAGTCAAGTATAAATAATTATTCATATATTCTGTATATCAATAATTTATAAGATACTAAAATAAATAGATTATTAGTTGCTAATTTTATTTTATTTTTAATTATCTATATAACATGCAAAAGAATTTTTAAAAGGTTACTTAAAGAGCTTTGTAAAAATATGTATAAACTTATTTATCTGTTATTACAATCGTTATAGCTTTTTACGGGTTTGTAGATTAAAAAGTAACTTCAGTTTATTTTTTTGATATCTAGAATTAGTGTAACATTTACTTGAAAATTAAATTTTATATACATTTTTTGTATATCATTATCCATACACTACACAACTACTGGAAAATTATTAATTAGTAATTGTATTTTATATTATACATATATAACATGCATGGATATTTTTTAAATGTTTTTATTGTTAAATAAATCTTTTAAAATGTGAAATAATTTACCAACTTTTACAATTTACAGTTTTTAATGGAAAATCTTAAATATGTTAGTTATCTCAAATTCTTATTTTTTTATTTTAAATTATATTATATATAAGTTTGTATATTATTAGCTATATAATACTTATGTAACAAATTGATAACCACTAATTGTATTTTTATTATTATCTATAAAATACTGAAGGGAAAATTTCAAATCTATATCTTGTAAAACATTTATTTAATTAAATGCAAAAAAATACTTGATGACACAAATCCGAGAACTGATGATACATTTACCTAAAATGCATATTTTATAATAATTATCGGTAAAGTATAATATGTTTGGTTATTGATGTAACTTAGCTCTTGATATAGTGTTTTTAAGTCGAATTAAATAAATAAAAAATTAAAAAATCATCAACCAATCAAATTAAAATAATTAATTGAAAAACTCTCTTATGAGTGACGCATCATAAAAAATTACTTAAGTGACTTCTCTATTACAATATACGAGGATATCAAGTTTAATATATAACAAAATTTAGCATTTGTTTTCTCATTTTTCATCTATGTATTCTACAGAAGATTTAGTTTGAATTTAAAAAAAAACCTAAAAAAAATATCATCTCCACACCTACAAATATAAATTTAAATCTAAATATTAGTATTTGTTTTTTTTTTATATATTCATTATCATCTTATTGTCATGATAATATTATCAACATCAAACCATCATTGTGATAATCATTAATATTAACTAATCATTTTCATCATCATCATCATCATTAACATCATCATCATCATCATATTTTCAACATAACATCATTATCTCAATATAATCATAATACTATCATCATCATATTAAATCATAACTCTAAATATCATAAGTTTTTCATCATATATACCATCATCACTATTTACCCATATATATAAAAAATATAAATTTTATTTTTTATTACTATGATGATCTCAAATTCATAAAAAACCTGTTTTACTATGAACAAAATAAATAAACTAAAAATAACTACCAAATTTACATAAGATAGTTTATAAATGTATATTCTATTTTACATAAATCTTTTTGAAAGCTAACATAGTGGGATAAGATCAATTTGAAAGCTAACATAGTGGGATAAGATCATAAAAAACCTGTTTTACTATGAACAAAATAAATAAACTAAAAATAACTACCAAATTTACATAAGATAGTTTATAAATGTATATTCTATTTTACATAAATCTTTTTGAAAGCTAACATAGTGGGATAAGATCAATTTGTTTTCATATTTTTAATACATTCTATAAATGATTTATATAGAGGTAGAAAACAAACACATTGTTGTTGAATTTAACTTCAACATTAAGTGTACTAATTTCAAACTTTCAAAATTTTACTTACAAGTAAAATTAAAAGATTAGTTGATTAATTTATTGTTTCATTAGGATCATATTTGTGTAGATTGGATATAAATCTCCAAGCTCTTTTTTTATTTAGTGACTAGTATTAATCCCATGCTATGCATGGGAATAGTTTTTTTTTTTATGGTAAAACATGAGAATAATTTTGCTTATTAATAAAACCAATTTTTTCAAAGCCAAATTTATCATATATAACTCAACATGACAGTATATAATATAACCTTGATTTACCAAGAGATTCATATACATAAAGATATTAACACATATCTTTAATTAACCATAAACATATAAAGAAAAATAGATTTGGTTAAAAAAATTGATTTGATCTTATTTAGCTTGTTGAATATATATTATTTTGAAGCTTACTTTCTATTTAACGTCTTGATGTCTTTTCTTTTAAAACTTTTCATAAATTGATCATCTGCAACTTATGCTAATACTTATTACACTCGTAATTCATTCATTCTCCATCTAGCTACAAACAAAAATAATATGACAAATCCAATGCAAAAACTAAACATGGTGAAAGTGTATGTACCTTTTATCCAGAGCCTTACTTCTGATTCCATCTTGTTTGCTTTCAATCTTTTTCTATCTTTTTATTTTCCAATACTCTTTGTACTGATCGAAACTCCAACCATACTCTAAAGTGGTTCTTATGAAGCTATATAGTGCTAAACTGGCATGGTTTACCTAGGATCTAAACTCAAGTGGTCTTTTTATTCTGTTTTGATCGACTGAGAATTTTTCAGGTGTTTGTTTCTAGATCTCATATATATAACATTGACAAAAGAAAGAACGTGGGTTTGTGGGAATATCTACAAACCGTTAGATGGTTATGTTTTTGTTTCTTTTAACTATTATCTTTTCAATTTATTTTTTAATTTTGAAATATTTATGATGTGTCAAAATTTGATTGGTAAACTGACTTGTGATTTAGTATATAAGGGATGAGTTGTCTATTTTTTTGACTCGGTTTTGATCAATGATGTAATTATTAAAGCTGAAATGAATTAGTTTAAATTGATAAAAATTAAGAAGTTAGGTTCATATTTTATGAAATTTGTCTTGAGGATCATATTAAATCACCTTATTTAAGTATCAGTTCAAAACAAAAATTAGGTTACGTTTCCATTCTTATTTAAGTGTTTCTAGTACAGGTTTAAAACACATATAGATAATACAAAGAAAAAAATTCATGATTTTATTAAAACCGTTGACGAAATATGTTCTTTGAAATAGATAATTTATGTTTGTTTTGTTACCTATTTGATTGATTTATCTTTTAATAACATCAAAATGGGGAAAATAACAAACATACTAAATAATCATATGAAAAATAAAACACACATGATTTTTTTATGCATTTCACTTCATTGTTTTCTAATTTTTGTAAAATTAATACATCGTAGTGAAATATTTTATTTTAAAAAATATATGCATTAAATTTCCGTTATGCCATATTTTTTATTCCTAAAAATATTAGATTAGATTCTATGATTAAAAATGTCTTTACTTGAAATATTTTTGATATTCTAATAATCACGTACAAAGAATAAAAAAGAAAAGAAAAATGCAAATACAAAGTAAGAGATAGACACTACAAGAA